TGCTTGTCGCTCGGTTGGCGCAAGATGTGTTTGCAACAGAGGAGGCACTTAAGGCAACATCCACAGGGACTTTTGCAACTATCTGTGTATATCCGACTGGAGTCTCTAGCGGTTTGAACTCAGCCAGAGACCCTTGCGTTGCAGATGCAATGGACTTGGGTTCGGCTGTCCCATCCTTGTTAATGATACAAGTTGTCAGGATTGACTGAATTTGATCCATCACGCGTTTCAAGTGGTGCCTGATTTTCGGGGTCCCGTTTACCGCTTGTCCATCAGAGCTGTCTGGTTTCGCCTGGCCTCCTTCCAAAGAGGATAACGGCAAAGGGGAGTTTGTCTATGGTGGTTCGAAGGATGCACCGTTGCTTCTCTTTGAAGCCACTATGTTGTCATGGTGCATACTCGCTTCCAGTGATATAATCTTAGCGTTCGTTCGTTCTTCAACTACTTCTGTTAACTGCTTGCACTACTGGACTAGGAGGCGTCTGTTTTTGATTTGTGGAGTGGTCGAACACGCAGTACAAATGCATATATCGTCTTCTGAGCTGTTTCGAGCTCTCACATGTTATTGGGGAAGATTTGCACGTTTTGGGTGGTACCATCTGAAACAGTGTGTGTAAGGTATACCGAATTTGCCTAATCGATCACGTTCTTCGGAGTTATTTTGGATTCGCATCTAATTGCTTTCTGCTACTTGGCATAGTGTTGCTACCTTACACAGTAGGCTAGTTGATGTTGCGTATTTTTCCGACTGGCCGGTTGCATACCCTAGTCCGATGGGTGAATGCGGACACTTCGTTTCTTGATCACATAATGCCCTGTGGAGTAAGAGGAAACGCGATAAAAGCCACCTGCCCTGACTTGAAACTGACGCACACTGATTTCAGAAAGGTTTGAAAACAACCGGTAGGTAATTTTCAAGGTGTGGAACGTACGCTGGTTTCAGTTCACCAGCCAGTCCAAAAGGCGCACTCTCAGATGAGTGCCGGTGTGACTTTGGCTCCTGTTTTATGGCCGGAGTGCTGTTCGCGACAGGGCGCGGTTGAGACGACTGCATGATAGATCGATCGCCGTCAGCCGATGTGGACGGCTAGGTGAGAAATTTCCAAAACCGGTAAGATGATCCACTGGATAGAGCTGGTAATTCCGTGCCGGATGAGTGGAACTTGGGCGATGTGTGATGAAATGCGTAGGGAAAACCACACTACAAGGCGGATCACAGGATGATTGAAAAAGATTTGCGCAGTTTTCACAAAAACTGATAGAGCTTCCAATTTTCTCTGGCGACGAAAAGTGCACACAAAAAGGAATTGAGTGGTATATGATAATACATAGTCCGTTAAGATTACCCGTAGATAGCGTACAAACTGTCGACGCTTCGGTTTTGTCTCCACTTGACAGTGAAGTACACCTTGTGTGTCTGAACGGCCGACTTTTAAGACAATGCGCAGTAACCTGACTGCTCCTCTCGAACCCATTTCAGCCATAGTGACCGCGGACTAAGCTGTGGCCATTCTCAATTAATTTGGGCTTGGGTAAGCAATGCGTATCTATTTGGGCGGTTTACTGTTATTTGGTAACGTGACTACACAGTTTATGTCGAAAATCACAGTCAGGTGCAACGCTAAGCGTGCATTGGTTCTAAGCCCTGACTTGAGGAATTCGTTATTTCGAAAGATATGATCGATAGGAGCAACGATTGTCAAAATATCCTGCTCTGTTGCTATCCTCAGCACATGGTAACCATTTCCCCTGGTGCATACATTCCCACGGAAGGCAACGCATCATTTGGCGGCTCCAGCATTGGAACGTCAGTCAGATTTTACCGACCCGGATATGGTCATTCATTTGGGATTTGGAACAAGTAGTATAACAGGTGATGACATTCAAAGATGAATTTGGAGAATCCGCTGGCGGTTGGGTTGCTACAAGCAACCTCAATTGAGACCTCGGTTCACTTGATGTGGACCTCGGCCATTCCGATCAAAAAGACCGTAAGTAGAATGAAAATTATAGTGTTGCTCATCCCAACACCGGCACCCCAAGACCGCGGTTTCGTCCTGTTGGGACTCATCAGTTGGAGATAGCCTGCGTTGGGCTGGAACTCAGAGCCTAGTGGCTCATGGTTGACGCCATAAGCACTATGCCACTGAGATCCACGAGCAACGCTTGGTCCAGCAGAAAAGATTGCAAAGTTGAATTTGGAGAATCCGCTGGTGGCTGGGTTGCTACAAGCAACCTCAATTGAGACCTCGGTTCACTCGATGTGGACCTCGGCCATTCCGATCAAAAAGACCGTAAGTAATATGAAAATTATAGTGTTGCTCACCCAAACACTGACACTCCAAGACCGCGGTTTCGTCCTGTTGGGACTCATCAGTTGGAGATAGCCTGAGTTGGGCTGGAACTCAGAGCCTAGTGGCTCATGGTTGACGCCATTAGCACTATGCCACTGAGATCCGCGAGCAACGCTTGGACCAACGGAACTGAATGCAAAGATGAATTTGGAGAAGCCGCTGGCGGTGATGGCATTGCTTTTAATTTTCAAGCTCCGAAGCAAGTACCAACCCTGAACTCAAGGTAGCTATTGTTCTGCACGTTTTTTAAGCGTTCGACACCGTGCCATGTTCGTTCTTATTTCCAATGCGCCCAGTGTTTTGAAAAACAAACCGTGCTATCCGGCATCAAACTGTAAAAAGCGGTTCGTCTTTCCTAACTCATCGGTACCTGTCACCGAACAAAGGTGAACCGTCTACACGATATACAAATGAAAACCACATCCCAGGGGAATGGCCGCTCGCCAGTGGTAGCTATTTACTGCTGCAATTTAGCTCACATCTGGTGGGAACGCCGCGTGAGTAACGAGCGTGTTCGACGTCTGGTTTACAGCACAGGAAAAGAAAATGAACCGCTCAGCATCGTCAATTCACGCACCAGACTCCGATGGCTCGGTCAAGTGTTACGCATGCCAGCACACCGACTCCCGCGACGTGCGTTGTTTGCGCGCCGAGGGTGTGGATGGAAGAAGAGGAGGGGTGGCCAAGCGATGACTTGGTCGAGAGGAATGAAGACCCTCAGTTCGGAGTTAACTTCGGTTGGAGCGTTTCGGTTCCCTGGTTGGGGTCCGAAAGACGATGAACACGTTTGGTTGGACACACTTGATGACATGGCTAGGAGCTGATCTCAGTGGCGTTGGTGCTGTGAGTTTCTTTTTCCCACCCCATCCCTCTTAGCCTCCCCCTCCAACCACGATCTCATTATTTAGTCTTATATTATTATGCATAGTACTTTTTTGATGCACAGTAGCCAACCGGTAGCTTACCGGAACGATGCCCATCCGTTACCGGTAGCTCAGCCGGCTTGCACCAGTTTCCATTTTTCTGTGTATTGCGGCACAGTAGCCGAGGTGTTCCCCACCTCTAGCTAACGTGTATGATGATGATGACGATGACTGCTGCACTCAGTAGTTGCCTGTATATGTCTAACTTCTAACTGCCACTTCGCTATACAATGGTTTCGCTTACTCAACGGGATTATGTGGTTTGATTTTATTTACATGGTCTGGGATCATATTTGTTTCGGAGCCAAGATACTGTTATTTGCAACGTTTCAAGTAAGGTCTCAAGCAGTTCTGAAACCTATTGGCCTTGTCCTTGTTCACGCTGACGGGGTTATATCACCGATGCCTCGCCACCTTGAACCCGCGACGGATATAAATAAATTAGTTTTCAATATTTTTGTTGCAATGGTGTTCAGTGTGAAAAAGAAAAAATGATCCGTAGTGAACAAGTAATGCTTAGGGGGATCTCACTTTCGCCTTGTTGATCCGGTGTGTAAATCAGCTTCGGCAGTGAATCGTTTTTATACGTTGGGTTCTGTGGTTTTTGGAGTGTGTGCAGTTCCTGTGAGATTTGTCTGTCGTTTTCTTTTTGAGGATGTATTTTGTCTTGCGCTGTCCTTTTATTTTGCCCTGCACAAGAGTTTCGCACACTTTTTAGCTCCTTTATGCTAGCACTACAATGAATTTTGCATGGTGTTGATTATTTTACACGTTTAAATTTACTTTAGTGTTCAATTTACGTTTAAGTGGCTCTAAGGATGTTGTGCGTCAATCTATCCATTCGGTACTTTTTGCGCTTTTTATGTGGTTGTATCTTGATCACATATTCGCAGTTATGACGTGGTTAGTGGCATTGTTATCGTGGGCTGTGTTGACGGAGAACAAGTAACATCTAGGCTTTTGCATCACGTGATATGACAACTTTTGCAATGCGCGCGACTTTTTTGCACTCTACTTGACCAATACCAAGTATTTTTTATTGTATGTGCGTTATCTATTTGTAGTTGTTCGCATGCAACTATAATTGGTCCTTGACGATGGTTGTATCCGTCGCTTTGAATGGGTGTGTGATATCTTGCGATGCTTCGGCATAGATATTTTAACCGGTGCTAACAAGTGTCACAATTACTGATATTTGGCAGGTAATAGAATATACACTATTTAGAATGGAATCGCGGGGGGAGTATCCGCATGCTTGGTTTTCTTCAATAGCTGTTTCATCTCCCGCATTTCACAGCAGTGGGGTTGTTTAGTTTACACTTTGCCTATCGGGCATGGTGCTTTACTCTGGAAGGGGTTTTATATCTTCTAAACTCCATCTTGTCTTGAATACGATAAAATCGCACGACCGTGCAGTCGTTCTGATTATACAAATGCGTTCGTAGCCGCATGAAATTGTTCGTTTTCAGACTTTTGTGCACAAAATGAGTTTATTCCCCAGGATTTAAGAGTGGTCTGAGGACCATACCCTTTTACTAATGCCTTTCGAGACTTCATGACATTGGTATGGGGTAATGCTCTGCACAGCGCGGCTCTTCTATCCCCGTAGCAGTTTCCGGTGTAACTACTGCCTGGACGGCACGTCATTCTGGCAGTGTAGTTAGACTCAACACTGGGCCCTCCTCATATTCCCTCAACCAGAGATTCCATACCACATCGTGGATTAGGCCGATTCCGTCATTTTTGTGTCGTTATGTTTTCCCCCCCCGTTATCATAGGCCTGCTCGGTTCTCATCATCACCTCATCATTTCCTTGGTCCCCTGAAGTGACTTGGAAGAATTAGCCTCGTTTGATTTTCGTTCGTGAATTATTTTGGTCGATTTCTTACCCGCAGTATTCCTCTTGGCCCATGACATCAGACCAGGTTGACGGCTCCTGTTTATACTAAACTAAACTCAAAATACTCTCTGCTAACCTGTAGCTATGTTTCTAAGCTCCATAACTGCACTGTCTCCCCCGTCAATAGTTTAATTTCCCGGTCTCCTGATTTTTCAATGGAATTATTCTTATGGATTTATATGCGGACATGTATGTTGCTTGCTGATTACTTATGTTTCCTCCGATTACGTTAGAATTTAAGGAGCACAGGCTCTCGCTGGCCAAGACGTGGTCGTAGTATATAGATCTTACTTTTATCCTCCCAGATGCTCTAGGTGGCTTCTTTCACTACCTTTTCGAATTATGCTATCCAATTTCTTTTAAAACGGTCGTACCCCCAGGCCTCAGGCCTTTCTCTGTCTAGGGCCTCATCGTATTGCAATTCTATCTTGTCTTAACTCACCCAATTGTTAGTCTCGACGCTAGTGGGCAGGGTGCACAGCTTGCTTGGCAGGATGCCCCGAGTTGAAAGTCCTAAACTTTCTCTGTGTTTCATGTCAATTTGGTTTTTTACATATTGTATTCTGTAGTGTGGAATGCGGTAAACGCTCCCATCTGTGGTTCTACCATCTGGAAGTTACGCTCCCAAAGCTGATCGAAAACAGTTGCCCACTAATAATATGGCCGCTTAAGAAAGTTGATGGGGAATGTGTTTTCACTTGTTTGGACACAAAGTCCCTTCGTCGCGCCTAAATGAAAGCATTAGAATGAAGACTGTTATTATAGAGGCAAGTAGAAATGGATTCTGTACAACTCTTTCGAAATATGGTGAAAAACGTTATAAAAGTTGTCAACCTGTGAACATCATTGTCGTTCTCATGTAACATTTAAAACATCCGAGGCGCGGTATTTCAGGACTCACAAAGTGATATGTCATCGTAAGTGTGCAGTCGTTCTCTGAATCGAATAGTGGCAAAATACAAATCTAACAACGTTTTGAACTGCTGCACAGATGTTGCCTCAATCACATGTTCGGGCAAACTGTTCCAAATGTTTACCACTCTCCGTCCGAAGCACAGTGGGTGGGAACACGTTTCATCATCCGCACGACAAGTTTGTATCTGTGTCCGCGTGTGCTGCATAGCCCTCGTAAGTGCAGCATTGGCCTTACATTGGGAACTCACCGAGATGTAGAATACGGTAGGTCATAATGAGGTCGACTCGCACCCGACGGTAGGACAAGGTGTAGAGTCCTAGTTTCTCGCACCGGTCTTCATACCCAAAGCCACGTAAACTCGGGATGAGCCTGGTAGCAACGTGTTGGACCCGTTCGATCTTTTGTGCCTCGCCTCGGGTAATCGGAAAGTAGGCGGGCGAACCGTACTCTAGCATTGGTCTAATGATGGAAGAGAACAGGCGAGTGGCAACCTCTTCAGACCATGTGCCGAAGCTACGTTTGAGCGCCCAAAGCATGCGCAGTCCGTTACGATATAGCCTGTTCGTGTTGTCCACGGACTTCAAATCGTAGCGCGAGAGTACACCTAGGTCCTTCACGGAGGGTGTGGGATATAGCGGTTGGCCGTCAAGAGTGTAGGTTCGGCCGTCAGCACCCTTCCCCAGGCTCATAAACACAGACTTGGCTGGGGTTGACCGGGAGAAACGAACTGCTGCAGTACCATGTGGATAGGCCGGGTTGAGGTCTTCGCTGAAGGTAGCCCACAGTCCATCGGGAGCTCGTCGATTTTCTCTCCAAATCTTCATGTCGTCCACAAACAACGGCCGTATGCATATATATGAGTGTAACTAAGACGATGAACCGAGCTTTAAGGGCGGATGTCAGTCGTGTTACACGTCACAGGTGTCCCTTCGAGTTAACTCCCCCCCCCCCCAATTTTTTTAAATCCAGAGGAAACATTCCCAATTCCGTATCAGACTGTACCTATTGTCTTACTGGCTGTACCCACGGACGCCGGCCGGCGGAATTTTGCTATAAGCCGTGCTGGATGTCGCCATTTTCATTTTGGGATTACTGCGTTATACGTGTTTTATGTGTGTGTGAATTTTACAAACCAATACAGTTCTTTATGGTATGTATTGTTTTCTCATGTGCGCACTTTGGTGAATATGCCCCTCGCTACTTTCGGTAGATCTCCCACTGTATCACCCCCAAGCTACAGCGCGTGTCCGCCATCTTAGATTGGATTCTACAACTGACCCTCCGGTACTCTCTACCCGCGGAAAGCTGACAGCCTACAGCTTCGCGAAATGCATACGTTAGTTCATGGCGGTGTTGAGCAACTGTGTAAAACTTGTGCGGTTGGTCATTTGACATTGCTCAGTAGACTCTGTCGAAAATACTTTCATCTCTCTGGTGTGCTCGCCTTAGTATACCAGCCAGATAAAAACACTTCCATGATACGACCGACTCTCGTTGGTTCTGTCATTTGAAATGATGTCCTCTCTTCCACTCGTCAGAGTGTATAAACTGTTTGCTGGCACCAGAAGTGCGATAGGTTTGTCAAAGATTGTAGAGCAAGCACAGCAGTGAAGCTGTCCCATCTGAGCCGAACACCCCACCCCCCCCCCCCCCCCCCCCCCCCCCCCCCTCCTAAAACCCCCCCCCCCCCCCCTAAAAACATCTATATTTTCACCCCCCCCCCCCCACCATTTTACCCCCCCCCCCCACCCCCCCCCCCTCCTACAACCCACCCCATTCCGATAACATCTAGATACATAAAGATCCATGTCAACATCATGCTCCAATCCAGAACGTGTAGAACATTGTTCTGTGTTAGTCCGCGACAGTATAGACGAGGCAGTGCTCATAAGACGCAGGCGCACATCAGTCTCACACTCACCAGTTCGCTGTGATGT